GAACTTTGGAGGTGGAGATTGAACAAGGAGTAAGAGATGAGATGGAGTATCCCTTCATCGGAGAAGGTAATCTTTACTAAAGTTTTTGTTTTTTCTTTCGCATTGCCATTGCACCCTCACGAGAAACTTTGGCAATTGTTTTTCTGCCGGATGCCCTTCTTGATGCAACCACTGAGCTCCTGCAGCCCACGTGTGGTGCCATGTAGGGCACCCATGGGAGCAGCAGACAGGGGTTTAATGGTCTCGCTTAGAGGCACAGAATGGGGCAAATAAGGRTAAAGACAGGTGTGGGTGTAATCTGAATGATTTGCGTTTGTTTTCTCACCTGTTCCTAATGTTTTGCCTGTGTTCTCAGGTGAACCTCACATTGATGGTGAACCTGGAGATCTGCGATTCCGCATCAAAGTGTTAAAGTACGAACAAGCTTTCCTCTTTTCTGCCGAATATGAGATTCATGGTGGATAAACTTGTTCTCCATTTATYTCTGCTGTTTTTCTTGTTTAGACATCCTGTGTTTGAGCGCAGAGGAGACGACCTGTACACCAACGTCACCATCTCCCTGGTAGAGGCACTGGTCGGCTTTGAGATGGACATTGTTCATTTAGACGGACACAAGGTACGTTTTGTAAGGTTCAAGCTTTCAGTTGGGCTTTTTAAACAACTACAGTGGAAATCTACTCACCTGTTAAAATTATAGATTTTTGTGCTGTAAAAGAAAAACATTACGACAAAACAGTTCTATTCATAGCCAAGCCTGGGTGTTTTTACTTTTTTATAGTCCAGACATTTGGACAACACAGAGACTTGTCTTGTCCTGGTTTGCAATACCTGTTGACCGGTGCCAGAAGGTGGTCGACTCCATGTACCACAGATGTGAAGCAGTTATCAGAAACTGTGGTTATGCAACTAAATATTAGTTTATGATTCTCAGGAAAGTTGAATCTTTAAGCATTTCTTAGTTTATACAGTATATTTTATTTTTGAGTTTATAAAAAAAGATGTCAACACTGCTATTTTTTGAACATTGTATTTCTTGACTTTCTGTAAAATATTGTCATATTCARTTACATTTTCTACTTTTTTGCTTTGAAACAGAACGTGCAGTGTCCAGAATGCATTTGTGATCATTAGAATACAATTTATTTGAAGAATTTTRAGATTTACTCACCTTTTTAAACACACTGCTATTATTATGAACATAAACGTATGACAAAGATGTGCATGAGCTGTTTAAACTGAACAGCTCTCTTTACTTCACAGGTCCATATAGTCAGAGACAAGATCACTAAACCTGGAGCACGAATGTGGAAGAAAGGCGAGGGTTTGCCAAACTTTGACAACATCAACATAAGAGGTTCTCTTATTATCACCTTCGACGTGGAGTTTCCTCAGACACAACTTGATGATCAGCAGAAAGACGGTAAGACTGAGGCAGAGGTAAACACAGTGGAGTTTTTGAACTTTTGTAAGAAACAGTTGGAAACTATGAAGAACATCCAGTGGTCAAATTGAGGAACTCAACTCAAAAGCTGTCCATCTGCTGTCAAAATCAAATAAAGCCTTTTCTCACTGKGCTGAATGACCTGTAGATGAGAACACAAGTATTTTTGTTGTCACTTTGAATACCTTTTTTTCCAGAATCTACAGTATTTTGAGGGAAAACACTGACATTCTTAGTCACTGCCTTGTCGCTTCTTTGAGAAGGCTTWTTTATGCTCTATTTCTTGTTCTCATCTTACTTTAAAATATAATTTTCAGTTATCAGCTATTGACTCTCAAACTTGTAAAAAATGTCTGCACCAACTATTTCACTTACCCATTGTTCTCTGAACAGCACTGTTTTGCTTTGGGTCTTTTTATATGTGATTTTCCATCTACTGAGCAAATATAGTTTTTTCTAATTCCGTAAAAAGTGTTAATTTAGCAAAGTTACCAAGTATCTTGCGTTATGTATTAATTTTTTTGTTACATTCATTTTAAACAAGCTGTGAGCTTTTGAATCTAAAGCTGYTGTTTAACAATGCAGCTTTCAGGTGCAGTCTACAACCCTAAATCAGAAAAAGTTGGAAAGTTGTTCACAAAATATGATGATTTGTGTCRTGGAAATGTTTATTTTACCTAGGCAGAAACACRCGATMCAAGAATAAAAAGTACTTTGTGAAAATGGTCAACAGGGTTTATTTGCAATTGCAAGACACACATCATTTCACACAGGCAGTGCTACAGAATGTGCACCGAGGCCGTCTACAGCATGTTATCCAAACAGAGAAAAACTGGGCCAAGGAAAGAATGATGTTTGATAAACAGCAACAAGAAGGATTACTTCTGAACAGATATTGTCCTGATCGTAAAACACTTTGTCCGAGAGAAAACAGAAGATAATGAGTAAAATCATAAAACATGTTCACATTTTACAGTAAGCAAAATAGGTCACTGATACTTGGCCTGAGAAGAAATGCAGGACTCTAAAGGATAATTTATTTTTCCAAGACAGTTTGTGAATTGCAAACTCATTTTATTTGCAATAGAACATATCAAATACATCTAACTAACTAATAGTACCATAAGGTAATTTAGAATTTATTGGCATCAACACACCTTTAAAAAGTAAATGGACTATACGTATATTAGGGTTGGGCAATAATGGCAAAAAGATGAATCATGATTAATTGTGGTATTTAGCCGATAACTATTAATATGACGATTAATCGCCTGGTGTCTCTGGACTCCTGCATGTCCTGTCACATGAATATTTTGAATCACTCTGGTGGGAAAGATTTTCTCCATAAAAATCTGTTCCAAATTCTGTCAACAGTGAAGACTTCAGACTATGCATCAATTTTTAAATGGTGTTGATAGGCACCCAAGACCAAGTCAAAACCAGAGCATATTGAGACAGAGACGGACTTTTAAAGGCTGGGACCAAATCAAGACCAAGGGAGGGCAAGACAGAGTCTAGTGCCCCAAAACATACAATATTCTTTACACAGGTTGCCAACTTAATATGTAGCTAATATCGACTAAATCTCTTTGTGYCAGGGCCAGGTAAAGAATTTTAGTACAGGGGCAGATTTCTAACAGTAGCTTCTTTGTGCTTCTTTTCTAAGTGATGATAAAAGTTTGACATGGTCCCCACTGTCTCTGAAAGCGAAGCTCTGCATAATTTACAAGTCACTGTACGCTTTCATGTGGACGTTGTTTTGCAAATATATACTTTATGAGATGGATATTAGAGAAAGTTCTGAATTATTCATCATTGTATAATTTTTTTACATCTCGATAACCTGGAATTTAACAGGGGTGTGTAAACTTTACAATGATGAATAATTCAGAATTTCTCTCATTTTTAATKTGAGTTATTACCTGTAAAACTGAATTGGGGGAGAGAGAAATCTCTTCCAGGGGTAACATGAAAAATGATAAAGACAACCACTTTTTTTCTTCTTTGTGGTGTCGTGTGAGKGAAAGTGGGTGGGGATGGGTAACAGCATTAACAACAATACATAATTAGCAATGAGGCACGCTTGGATATGAATCACTGCTTTTACATCCCACGAAAGCAAAGATGTTAACAAATAAATTGGACAATATTCTGTCAGCTTAGTAATATTTCCACAAGTGCAGTCTTCATTGGTCTTAAATAAAGCCCAGAGTCCTCAGTGTCTTAAGAACGAGACAAGACCGAGTACAAAAGTGGTCGAGACCATCAAAAAGTGGCTTTAAGACCGGTCTAGATTACAACATTAGATCATGGCCATCCAATACAGAATTTTAGTCTTGTCCTTTGAGCTCAGAGATTTCTATAGATTATTGAAATATTTTGATATTGTCAACTGTAGATGATGAGATATTCAAAGTTCTCCTAATTTTCTATTAAGGAATATTATTCAGAATTTGTTCCAGTATTTTAMACATTACAAAAAAATAAATAAATTTTCACAGACCGGTGAACCTCTGCCTATCTTTACTTCTGAGCAATTCATCTTCTAAAAGGCCCCTTCTGTTGCAAAATCCTCCTCCAGTTTTTGCAGCCTTTCATAGCCTGTTCCAGGTTTTTTAAATTGTATCTTAGATAAAT